AAAAAAAAAAAAAAAAAAAGGAAGGAGGGGAAAGGGAAGGACAAGTAATGAGGGGAAAAGGAAGGACAAGCAAGCAAGGACTTCAAGCCTCATTTTAAAATAGCTAATAAAGGGGCTGGGAAGGTGGCTCAGTGGTAGAGCGCTTGCCTTGCATGCCTGAGGCCCTGGGTTTGATTCCTCAGCACCACATAAGCAAAAACAAAAAAGCCAGAAGTGGCGTTGTGGCTCAAGTGGTAGAGCTCTAGCCTTGAGCTGAAGAGCTGAGGGACAGTACCCAAGCCCAGAGTTCAGGCCCCACAACCAGACCCCCTTCCCCCCCCAAAATAAAATAAAGTAGTAATAAAGAAAGTCTGGTAAGTCTGGTAGGCTCTTGCATGTAATTCCCAGCTTTTGAGGGGGCAGAGATCAGGTAAACTGCAGTTCAAAGGGCAGTCTTGGCAACAGGTTACCAAGAACCCATCTCAAAAACTAAGCTGGTAATGGTAATGTATGTCTATAATGTTAGCTGTGCAGGAGGCAAAGCCTGAAAGATCATGATTGAGGTCTGCCTGAACAAAAATGTAGGACCCTATCTGAAAAAAAAAAGAAAAAAAAAGTCAGGGGATATGGCTTAAATGACAAAGCACTTGGCCTAGCAGGCACAGACCCTGAGTTCAAACCCCAGTACTGTCAAAATGTAAACAATAAAAAATAACACAAAGCACATTTGGCAAATGTTGGTAGCAATGGAATGAGAGTTTCAACAGTTGGACAACCTCATAGTTCCTCAAACTTTGAATGCTTATAATGTGTTCATAATGAAATGTTTTAGAAGATACAAAACAGAGCAAATCTTTCATTACCAAAACCAGATGAAAATAAATGATTACTTATGTTAAAACATTTATTAGGAGAATTAGCAAATGGAAAATAAACTACAACATATAAAATATGGATAAAATTATGCCAAATATCCAATTGAGGGAAAATGTGGGAGAGCACCAGTGATGCTAGTTAAACTTATTTCATTAAGCATCATAAGTAATCAAAATTTCATACAAGCGTGGTGGAAAATCTGCATGGAATATAGTCTTCTAAGGGGAAGAAAATATTAAACATAGACACAAACAATCTAACAAGCAGTAGAAAGCACTGTAGAAAAAGTGAAAAAACATTCTAGGTATTATAGCTTCTACTCCATACCAGTAACAAAGGTGCATTCAGATGATTTGTTTACCTGACTAGTTCATTTAAACATTGATAGCAATCACATAGCTTTTTAGCCTATTAAGCAAAGAAAAGAAAAAGATCGTCCAAAGAATTTTACTACAACAGAAAATTTGGTATCAAATCATGAAAAAGAATAACAAAAAGAAAATCACACATTTATTTAACTTAGTCAATATTCTTTCAAATATTCCAAATAAAAATAAGGACCTATAATTTAATTAAAATTTAATTTAAATTAATTTTTAAATTAAATTATTAATCACATTAATTTTACTTTAAATTAAAATAATAAATTCTCATCAGAATCAAATAGAATCTGTTCACTCAAAAAAGGTTTCAATAGAAAAGAAATGATTTCATAGCACAAATGTGTTAAGCAATAGTACTAGTGGTTGTGCAAAAAATATTGATCGCATGTACCACCTGATTCTGATTAAAATTCCTTAGAAAAATATAAAAAGTCAAAGACCTTCCTAACTTATACTCAACTCATACTCAAAATCACTGTACTGATGAATAAGACCATCCAAATCAAAATCACTTACCTACTGGGACTAAGACACGAAACCACCCTCAGCAGAATTGTACTCAGCAAAATACAACTATAAACTGATAAATAAATAAATTCAGTTTCCTCATCTAGGCAAACAGCTGTCACTGATAGTATCTAACCTAGATAGTTGGTTCACTGATACAATAATGTTATTATCAAGAATTACATCATGCTCTTCCAACAATCTTATAAATATTGCACAATGATTTTTTTCTATTCCTAATCAGTTCTCTGTCTTAAATTGCAACAGCCCAGACCCAAAGGCACTTTCCTCTAATCTGTGAAACACTGTCAAACCCTGTCAAGGTGGTGTTTTCCCTTGCTGCAGTAAATTTAATAAACTCAGCTTTGCTCATTCATAGCACTTTTGGGTGGTCTTTAGAGAAGCAGACCAGCAAAAAAATGTGCATTGCAACCCAAGAAGCATTCCATTAAAGGCCCATTTAAATCAAGGGTGGGTGATATGTCAACATTGTTTAAGTGCTCTGAAAGGACCAGTATATGGACTTTATCAACTTAACCAAAATCATGTATTGGAAGAAGAGAATTAAAGCTATCAATTTTTGCAAATAATTCTGTCCACATTTTGAAAAAAAATATGAAAAGTATTGAGAGGTGACCACTTGCCCCTCAAAAAAACAAAACTTCCAGGTTCAGAAAACATGAACAAAGTAAAAGAAAAATCTCATCACTAAAGTCAAAAATGTTAATAGCAATTTAAGTTTTTATGAATAAGAGACACACATTGTTCTTCATTGTGAAGACAATATTACTGAAAACCAATTTCCCCAAATTAATTTATTAAGTCTGATGAAATTGCAGTCTAAACTGTAATTTCGTCCAGTAAGAAGACACATGAGACAGGAGGCAGAAGAAGAGACACACAGATCCACAGAACAAAAATGGAGCCAGCCAGATGAGAATACAGCATAGGCGCAAGATGGCATTACAGATAAATGGGCAATTATTGGCAAATAATCGCATAATGGCAAATAACTTGGCAATTTAAGAGTTCAAAACAAAAAAAGTTCTCATGATATAAGAATTTGACTGAAAAAAAAACCCACAAAGAATTAGAAGTTAACACAGGTGAAGAGTTTTATGGACTTGGTAAAATACCTTTCCAATATGACATGAAACCAGAAGCTATAAAGCGAACATGGTTATATACTTGGACATATAACAATTATACACATTCCTAGAATAAAAACAAAGTTTAAAAGTGCATAAAAATATCTGTAATGCTTGACAATCTGAAAGCTTATTCCACCAATAGTAAATGTGTTCATTGAAATCTGAGACGAAAATCAACACCCCAGAATTGGACATAAAGAAGAAATTAAAAATACAGATGACTAATAAACACATGAAAAACAATGATCAAACTCAAAAAAAGAAATACAATTTAAGACAATAGTTGGCCTATCACATTTGCAAAATTTTAAGTACGTTTAAAATTCATTATTTGCATGGATATGGGAAAGTTGGCAATCTCATTCATTGCCAGTGAGAATAAAATGGTTAACCACATTTTTTCAAAGAAATCTTTCCATAAGTTTCAAAATCTTAAATGTTCATATCTTTAATTCCAGTAATTCAATTGCTAGGTAAACTTAATATCATAGACAAATGCAGAATTGTTGTTCTGTTCATTGCACAGAAATTTGGTACTAACATAAATAACTATGAATGAGAAATCCATAAAACATTTAATTATATTTTATCTACACAATAGTCATGCAGTCATTCAACAAATGACACAGATGTATATGTATTACTGAAATAGAAAAAAAACCACTGAAAAGACTTAAATGGAAGAGGTAATTGGCAGAAGAATGTGTTACAATATGGGTTCACTTCTAAATACCCACTCCAGAATAGCTTGCATGTCCATTTGCACACTAAAAAAAATGAATATAGGAAAACTGACAATTGAGTTGCAGAGAGGAGGGCCCCTAGCTTATTCTATTATTTGTTCTTTGAATTTTTGAGAAAAATGATGAAGTTTCTTTTGAATATATCAGCTTTAAAAATTTATCATGTGGCAAAGAAAAATGGTAAATATATATTTATAGGAGCACTGAGCATTTCCACCATTTTGAGCTTCTTGTGCAATTTATTTGAGGCTCCTGTGATTGAGTCAAGCGGCAGCAAGGGAAACAGTCACCATGCCCAAATTAAAGTCTCAACGGTGATATCCCAATATGAGCATTTCTCAGTTAAGCATTTCTTATCTGCAGGAGGAATCCACTGCCACCCAGGAAGAGAGGTGTCACCGGGCATAAAGAAGACTGTAGCGTTGTTTTGATGAAGCTGGTATATAAGTAATGGCATCAACTGTAGCAAATCCACTCAATGTGGTCACCCTACAAGGACACAGGGAAAATTAGCTTAGGTGAGAAACATGTTCTTTTCATTCTTTTCTTTCCTTTTTTTCTTTTTGGCTTGAACTCAAGACCTCACTCTCACTGTTTTCTTGCTTCCAAGTGAAGCTCTACCAGTTGAGCCATGCCTTACTTGTCCCTTACTTCCTCATTTTGAAATGATAGCTTGGTATGCATAGATCTATATACTTCTGGATCAGCAAACTTCTTCATGGTCTCTCTTGCACATTTCCAAAATGGAATAAATTACCTGATTCACACTGAAAATTATGCCTGTTACTTTTTGTAACAAGTGTTTTACCTTTCACTGCCTAGCAGGACAAGTTATTCAGAAAATCAATTAAAATATACTCATGTTTATTTGCAACAAAAATTTATTGGGAACTTATCAGTGGCAGGTAATTGACAAGGTATCTATGTCACCAAAAAAAGTAAAGAAAAAATACCTGACTAGGGCTGGATGCTGATAACTCATGCCTGTAAATCCTACCTATTCAGGAGGGTGAGATCTGAGGATCATGGTTCAAAGGCAGCCCTAGCATGAAGGTCTGTGAGACTCTCCAATTAGCCACCAAAAAATTGGAAGTAGCACTCTGGTTCAAAGTGGTAGAGCACTAGCCTTGAGCAAAAAAAGCTCAGGGACAATGCCCAGGATCTGAGTTGAAGCTCCACAACTGACAAAGAAAAATTACTGACTAGAATAAAGTAAATAAAAGTAGTTATATGAAATTACATGTAATTGATGAATTAATAATATATAAAGAGCTCAGCTATAATGGACTGGTTAGAGTTAGATTTTCATTGAGGGCAGAGTTTGTTAAGGAAAACTCCTCAATTCAAGAACTATTATGATCACAGCTCTGTACCTCCCCATTTTTATATCCACATTTATCTGATTCTTGGTGCTTTTTAATGCTGCCTGGCTATAACTAAGGATAAACTTAAGGAGAAGATCTATCAATTTATATCCCCCCCATCCTAGGACTCTTATAAACATGCAGCCCCTACCCACATAGACATTATACCTGTCGAAGACATCCATGTGACCATATATAGGAATGAAGATTTGGGAAGTAAACTGTCAACTAATTTCTTAGAATTGATAGTTGAGAGTTAAGGCAAGGGCAGTAACAACTTCTCTACCCTGTTGGGCTCTATCATCGCCTGACAGAAAAAAAAGAAAGGAAAAAAATGAACATTTTAAGAAGAAATACACACATGTATGCAGATGCATCTATAAACATGTATCACATACATACACACATAATGAAACAATAATGTATTTATTCTGTGTTGTGTGGCAACTAGATAGGAATGGTGAATGTTGGTTAAGTCTTCTCTGTGTCATGTGCGCAAACATGCACATCTTTGCACATCTATGCTAGCAAGATAAATATACTACTAAAACTAAATATTATAAAATAAAAAATAATGTCACAATTGTATATAGCATGATGAAAATGTTGTCTATTACTTCCCAGTAAAGCCTAAGTAGGGCTCCTACCAACTGTACTGGAAAACTAAACTTATTTCTAAGTCATCAATTTCCCAAGGCCATCTTTACAGAATAATGTATGTCGTAGTCTGTGAGAAAAATAAGACACCAACATCTACTGTTATATTCTCCTAACCAATCCTTTCCCTCACATAATGCTCTAACAAAGCCAAGAGGGCAATGGAATTAAGCAACATAGGCCAATACAGGAATGTCCAGATACAGTGAACCCTTTACTAATACAAGGGGAACTGAGCAAGCTGCCATTATCTGAGGGAATCTGCCTTGTGCATCCATATACATGAAGGTCAGCATCTCTTTGCTGACTTCTCAGACAAAGACAAATCAAGCCAAGCTAATTATGTCACGGTGTAAGTACTCTGATCTATAAAACCCCACTCCTTGTGGCAAGTATTAGGAGCATTGTGGAAAGGATAAGGCTTAGTGGTGGGCAAGGCATCATGAGAGATGAGGAAGCCACCTGTCCAACAGATGCTGCATGCAAGGTATTCTAGGCTGCCACAAATTATAATTTGGAAACACTTCTATTTTCTTTGTTTTTAATTTAGGGTCTTTAAGATAGATTGCATCCCTTCAATGATTAGCAGCTACACAGATAGGAATAAAGATTGTATTACTTACACATCCTAGGGTACATGGCATGCTTGGGGACCACACAGAGATCAGAAGGACAAAAAAAAGTGAGAAGAAAGGAGGCCAAGAGTAACTGAAGGAGGGAGGAAGGTTGAAGTAGAATAAGGTTGTTATAGAAATGGGTTACTTTTGGGGAATTAGAATCAGTAGGGGTTAAAAACAAGCAGGAACAGGCTCCATGGGGTTATAAACGTGGAAGCATATGTGATGTATATGTGTGTATTCATATGTATGTATGTATATACACATGTATGTGTTGATATCTATAAGGTAACTATCAGAATTGACCACATTGAGGAACTAGAAGGTGATCTAGAAGTAGAAACTGTCATGAATATCCAAATACTTTTTCTGGTATGAGAATTCTTCACAAGAAATTCTTCACTACACTCTTCAATACTCACAGCCAAGACACAACTCAGACACAACTGCTGAGACCTCAAGGACAATCTTAAGATACAAACCTCATTTTGGCCCAGTATCATCTTGGTTCCTAAAAGAGAAGGAATCATTCAAATATACTTGATGCACAATGCTTTTATGGTATAAGCTAGGTTTAGAAACGTCAAGTATTCTAGAATGTAAAAGTATAAAATTATGGAAGCCAACTATACACACACACACACACACACACATGGTTAGATAGATAGATAGATACTATTTTATTTATTATGATTTTTTTGCTAGTCTTTTCTTTGCTATTCTTGGGGCTTAAACTCAGGGCCTGGGCCTTTATGTGCAAGGCTAGTGCCACTTGAGCAGGCAACACATCTGGCTTTTTCAGCGTAGTTTATTGGAGATAAGAGTCTCACAGACTTTTTTGTCTGGGCTGACTTTCAACAGTGATCCTCAGATCTCAAGCCTCCTGAGTAGCTAGGATTACAGGCATGAGACACCAGTGCCCAGTTTCTACAATATTTTTAATGTGAGAGGCAACTGGAGGTGTGGCTCAAGCGGTACAGCCCCTGCCTAATAAGCCTGGAGCCCTGACTTCAATCCCCACTACATGGGAAAAAAGTGAGACACTTAATGTGAGAAACTACCCAAAATAAATGACTGAGTTCCTTACAAAAATCTCAACAATCTATAAACTGTGAGATTACATTCAATGATACTATGTTACTGTAGTACCTTCTAGAAATTGACAAGAATGAGCAGAGATACCAATAAAAACCAAAATTTCAATGTTGTGATACTGAGTTGTAGGTGAAATTAGAACTTTGTTTCCATCTATAGTTCTTCACTGAAAACCAATAATATTCTTAAAATAACCTATGGGATTAGTAATGATGCCTCCTCTTTCATTCTCAGTTTTAGTAATTCATATGGGTATAAAGTTTTATCAATTGCATTCCTCTTGGCACAAAACCCAACTTGTGAGAATTTTCCTCTTTCTGTATTTCCTTCTTTTTTCTTCCTCCTCCCCCATTTCTGTATGTTACTAGGGTCCATGAGACCCTTATCTCCAATTAACCAACAAAAAACTAGAAGTGGCACTGTGGCTCAAAGTGGTAGAGTGCTAGTCTTGAGCAAAAGAGCTCATGACCATGAGCAGGCCCTGAGTTCAAGTGCTATGACCAACAACAACAAAAAAAGAAAAAAAGAAAGAAAAAAAAAGGAAAGAAAAAATCTCAAGGTCAGCACCCAGATCCGTGATTCAAGCTCTAGGAACAGCAAAAAATAAATAAATAAAAAATAAAAAAGTAAATGGTGTAATAATAATAGTAAATGGTGTAATAGGAAGAATTCTGCTGTCACTTGTTACAAAATAGAGCTCAGGCAGAAAAGTTGAATAATAACTGGCCAATTAAGTGTTTACTATTAAGAATTTACAGAAAAACAAACCTGGTACATGTGACTCATGCCTGTAATTCTAGGCACTCAGGAGGCTGAGATTTGGGGATTGAGGCTAAAGCCAGATCAGCAGACAAAATTGAGAGACTCAACATCTCCAATTAACTAAGGAAAGTTGGCATGAAGATGTGGATCAAAAGATAGACTACCAGTCTTGAATGAAAAAGCTGAGTAAGAACTTGATTTCCTGAGTTCAAGGCCCAGTACTGGCACATACAAAAAAAAAGTTTAGAAGAAAACATAATGATGCATTTGACAAACTACATGACAGTTCACTCATTGCTCTGAACAGAGGGGCATATGGAAGAGGATTTGTTTTCTTTTTGCCAGTCATAGAGCTGGGCCTGGGTGCTGTCCCTAAGCTCTTCAGCAAAAGGCAAGTGCTCTACTACTTGAGCCACTTTGGTTTTCTGGTGGTTAACTGGAGATAAGAGTCTCATAGACTTTCTTACCAGGGCTAGCTTTGAACCATGATCCTCAGATCTCAGCATTCTGAGGATTACAGGTGTAAGCCACTGACGCCTGGCCTTCTTCTTCTTCTTTTTTTTTGGTTGGTTGTAGGGCTTGAACTCTGGGCTTGGGTGCTGTCCCTCAGCTCTTCAGCTCAAGGCGAGCGCTCTACCATTTGAGCTACAGTGCCACTTCCGGTTTTCTGGTGGTTTATTGGAAATAGGAGTCTCACGGTCTTTCCTGCTCGGGCTGGCTTTGAGCTGTGATCCTTAGATCTCAGTGTCCTGAGTAGCTAGGATTACAGGCGTGAGCCACCAGTGCCCGGCTTTTGGTCTTCTCTTTTATTCTTTTGGTTGGGGTTTGAACTCATGACTCACACTTAAATTCATGGCTGAGCCTACTTGTTCAGCTGGTGCTCTATCACTGGAGCCATGCCTGTAGGCCAGCTTTTTGCTTCTTATTTTGGAGATTGAGTTCCAAGAAGTTTGTCTAACCTGGCTGTCTTCTAAATGTAATACTCTAGATCTCACTCGAATAGGATTACAGACATGAGCTACTAGCACCTAGCTTTAAGTTATTATTTAAATTGAGAAGATGGATGGAGTTAAGAAGATATAGGGTAGAATAATGAAAGGGGTGGCAACCATCAAGATGCATCCTATTTGAACCTGACAGGCTGAACTGAAACATCCTTGTAAAACTACTTAAGAATTATTTTTTAAAAATTGAAAATTAAAAATACATAATATAATTTAAGATATACAAATACAAATTCAATGTATAAATACGTTTACATGTATATATATAAATAGATAAAGTATAATAATTACTATAAGGAAGCATATTAATAGATCAATAATTTTGTATAAATACCCTCTTTTCTTTTTTAGTGATTAGTACTTAAAGTACTTTCTATTAACAAACATTACTACACGGTACAGTATTTCTAACACATTTTACATTCTCCAGAAGTCCATGTGATATAGGTTAATCTACACAAGTGACATTTTATAGCCTTTACGCTCCATCCCTCAATATCCTCTATGCCTTATCCAAAACCAATTAATACTTTTCTACTGAGTCCACAAATAATTTACCATTTTTCTATCTATGTCTGCCTCATTTCCTTCAGCATCATGGCCTCAAGCTTCATCCATGCTGTTGCAAATGGAAGGACCTTCTCTTTTATTTTTGTGCCCATCCTGGTGCTTGAACTCAGGGCCCAAGTACTTTCTTTGTGCTCAGAGTTAGAGCTCTACCACTTGAGCCACACCTTCATGTCTGGCTTTTGGGGGTGGTTAATTGGAGAAAAAAATTATTAAGAAATTATCTTTCCTGGCTGGCTTCCAACAAGGATTCTCAGTTCTCTGCCTCAAGATAGCTAAAGTTAAAGGTGTGAGCCAGCAATGCCTGGAAGGGTTTGTTTTTCTGGTCCTGGGCCTTGAACACAGACTTTGTGCTGGCTTCAAACTGCAGTCCTCAGATCTCAGCCTCCTGAGTAACTAGGATTATAGGTATAGCCACCAGTGCCTGGCAGGATCTTGTTTTTTAAGATAAAATAATATTCCATTAAAATGTAAGAAATCAACAACATTTTAGGTATTTTATAAAGACTAATCTTCACTTTCCATTATAAAACCATTTGAGAAGTAAAAAGAGGTGCTTAAAAAGCACACAGATGAACAGGTTACAAGGGCAATGCCAACTAGTCCTATACTATTATCTAGCATCTACGTCAAAGGCCAGCATAGATTATCTAAGCTCACATGACATTTAGGGGACATTTAGGGTACATCACTATGGAAAATAATATGATATTGAATGGAAGGAAGGACATCAGTACCTACATAATCATGGATATAAACACAATCTCTCTTGGGGTGAACAAACAAGAGTTCTCTTCCATTGTATACAGCCTTACATGCAAACATGCCATATCACCCCATGAAACACTGGCTCACATATCACTGCAAATAAGAAATGTATACTGGCTTTATAATTCTCTCTACTAACAGGAACATGGCAACAATAAGGGTAACCACATTGTTCACTTTTGTGATACCACCAAATATGGCATCATAATCTGGGATACTGACCAAATATAGTAATGTGTCACCTAAACTGCCTCAATATCATTTAAAATCTGTTCCTTGGGCTGTGAAGTTGGCTTAGTTGTAGAGTGCTTGCCTTGCATGCATTAGGCCCTGGGTTTGATTCCTCAGCACGACATAAACAGAAAAAAGCCAGAAGTGGCACTGTGGATCAAGTGGTGAGTGCTAGCCTTGAGCTGAAGAGCTCAGGGACAGTGCCCAGGCCCAGAGTTCAGCTCCCATGACCAACAAAATTAAAAAAAAAATCTGTCCCTCCTATATATTACAAAAAGACTGTTACTTGGCTGAGAGAAAATACACTTAATGATGGCATATAACCAAGGGCAAAGTTATAATACAACAGACATTCTGCACAAAGGAGAACTGAAAATAACCTTAAGGGATTTTTGTCTCTATTGTCATTGCATGTTTTAAACTGGAGGATAAATTGGACACTAAAAAAAATCAAGTAAGCTAGTTAAACAGGAAAAAATAAAGGAATTTCAAAGGAGACACATAAACAGTAACTTCAGAGACTACAATACAATGAAGGGCCCTTATAGACATTGAGTTCTTTAGTTATACATAGCTGGATGAGAAGAAATACAAGGGCACTCAGAAATAGACATGATTTTGGTATTATTAAACAAATACATGCATCTTGTATATTCTAACTGAAGACCTATTGCTTGATGGTAGTGTATGTACATTTATAATTAGCTAAGAAGATGACAGTCAAGAGAACAAAGGACTGAAAAGTCAGTTCAGGTGAAAAAGTAGACCCTAAGTAAAAAAGGCTTGTTAGGCATACTGGTACATGCCTGAACACGTCACTATTGAGAGGCAAATATGGTATATCCTAGAGTCCATTCTTCATTAGATGGATTCGCTCTCCAGACTGGGCATCCTGGCTCAATGTCACAAAATGACATGCACCAGCCACACACTTAAAAAAGAAAAAAAATAACTAAACTATGGCATAATTGTCATTCGCCAGGCAGGGTAAGAGCCACCAGGAAACTCAAATAAGATATAAGATTCAACCTGAAGTCCCAGTACACCAGATATGAGCCTCATATGATCAGCTACCTACATGTATGCCACCAACCACAATATCAAACAGGGTACCAACACTAGCACACATGTGATCACCCAGACACAGGGTCTCCTTCCAGGACAAACTGGGTAAGCAAAATAAAAGCAAACATAAAACAAGAAACATACCAGTGCAAGCCTGCAAGTGTGGACTTAACAAAACTGAGTACAACTTGTGCAAGTCAACATAACCCTTCCTCATGTTGAACAGTTCCAGGGAACCAACTACAAACAGAACACCAGGCCCCCCAAAAAACATAATAAGAAAAGATAATTGGTAACAATGCCATGTAAGATAGGTGAGAATTCCAGTGAAAAATTCAGCCAAAAGAGCAAGGAGGGACAAAGAGATTATGGAGTACATATAACTAGGAGATCACAAAATTTGGTGAACTGAGAGGTAAAAGAATATCAATGATAACTAGCTTCATGGATACACTGTGTAACAAACACAATTAAAAACGATCACGGTTATTGATATTTGAATAATTTAGATCACTACAAAGAAGATGTCATTGGAGAGTCACTAAAAAACAGGAAATTTTCTGGGACCACAAATTTTCAAGGAAAAACTAGATTGCAGAGCTGATGAGAGAACATTGATAGGTCACACACACACAAAAACTAATACCATTTAAAAGACAAAAGCTACAAAAAGAAAATTTGAGCAGCTAAGTCTTACCTTCCTAAGAGATAAAAGGGCCAGGAATGAACAGAAAGCAGGCCATGTGGCACAAAACTATACATAGTAAAACTCTCTAGGGACTAGGAGAAAAAGAGAGGCACAAGAATCGTGCTGCTTGAAGTGTCCACAGTGATAGGCCTTCAGACCAACATGCCGCCCCACGAACTGAAGTCATACTTGCATACCACAACCTGGAAAACAAGAGAAACTAAAATCAATGTTAAGAAAAGGAACAAAGCAAAAAACACAACTCTACTACCTACAGAGAGCTAATCAAAACTTGCAATCAATACTCTACTTTCCTAGTAGACCCTCAGGGTGTGCCAGAACCATGAATAGCAAGTAACACCTGAGAAACATGCAAGGAAACTATGTGTCTGTGGGGGTGGGCGCAAAGGCACATAAATGTTTCGCACAGTATATACTTGTGCAGCCAAGGGTGACATAACTGTGGTCAAATATTCCTGTTAAAAAAACACACCATCCCAGTCTCACACCAAAGAAAAAATACAGTGTGAGCCAGGGAGAGGATATACAGCCAGTGTTCCAAAAGAGCAAAGAATGTGTGCGACTGCAACTCGGGCCCCGCTCCTACACTGCCTGACTCTGGACCTCAGTCACGATGAGAACGACGGTTATAGAGTTTTCACTCATTTTGTTCAGCTTCCAAGGAATGTTATTTTGGGGAGTCATCATCGATCCAAGCACACCCGCTGGGCGCCAAGCAGCACACGGCACGCTGGGCGCCAGCAGCTCGGGGCAGGCCAAGCTCCAACCCACACCGAGGACAGTGGGACCCCCTCGGGCACTCAGCGAGGCTTACCTCCCTCTCTCCTCGGGGCCGATGCACTGTCCACGGCGAGTCACGACGCAGCAGGCCGGGCGGCTCGCGCCCCTTCAAGGCTACACTGCTCTCTGGGCCTGGCTGCCAACCCGAGGCCCCGCTGACCCAAGGTCTTCTGGGAAATCAGCGCCTGGGAGCCAAGAGGAATCAAGAGGGCCGTTGAGAAAAGAACCAAGGCCAATGGCTGACGCGTCACGCAAAACTCCCTCCTTGCCCTAGCTCCATAGCTCTCTTTCATTCTCCTATCCCACCCTCACGGGGCTTGTCTGGCCCATGAGCACAACAGCTCGTAGGAAGGCAAGCCAAACTTGGGTCGCACAGGACGTGTGTGTGCGCGCGTGTGTGTGAGCGGGCGCACGTGCGTGTGTGTTCGTGTGCCTGTGCCTGTGCCTGGGGGTTGGGGTTGGGGTTTCTTTGTGCAAGTGTGAGACGGTGGTGGTGAAGGGATTGGTTGTTGGAGTCTATGCGTTGCGGTGTGTCCAAGGCAGCCGTTTGCGGGTGTATGCCTCTCAAACGCCGCCTATTCGTCCCCTGGACAAGGGACTGGCAGCCCGACGGCGCCCACGTGGCCAGAGACCACAGAGTCGGCAAGCAGAGCAAGGAGGTGCTACTAACTAGTTGGCTGGCAGCTCTAGACACCTGAGCAGAAGCGAGACCCAGACGAGTCGGCCAAACCTCGGCCTCACAGGCAAGCCCCACTGGAGAAAGGAACGGTGAGTGCCAGGGCCCACTGCGATGGCTGGCTACCTGTCTAGGGCTGCCGCCCGTGCTGGGGGCACAAATGCGTGAGAGGGAAAGGCCTTCCCGGCTCCTACACTAGCTGGCTCGTGCAAAAAGTGCCGGACCTCAGTCACCGATGAGCGGAGACGGGAGTGAGTTTTCACTCATTTTGTTCAGCTTTTCCAAGGAATGTTTTTTTGGGGAATCATCATCGATCCAAGCACAGGCTCTGGGCGCCGAGCGGGACCCGGCCCGCGGGGCGCGAGCAGCACTGGCCAGGACGTTTGCCGCAACGCCAAACGGCAAGCCTTGAGCAGCTCCCACCCACACCAAGGACCACCACGGAACCCCCTTGGGCCCAGTAAGGCTCACCTCTCTCTCCCCGGGGCCGCCGATGCACCGTCCACGGCGGGACAGGGAGCAGGCCGGGCGGCTCGCGCCCCTTCAAGGCTACACTGCTCCCTGGGCCTGGCATGCACCCCGAGGTCCCGCTGACCGAAGGCATCCTGGGCAATCAGCGCCTGGGGACCAAGAACAATCAAGAGCGCCCTTGAGGAAAAGGAACAAGGCCAAGAGCTGACCTGTCATGCCAACTCAAAGCTTGCCCCAACTCCCTATCTCTCTTCTCCTGTCAAACTCTCAACATATTCACCATGACCATGAGCCTGTGACAGGCCTCCTGGTCTACCAAGCTATATGTCGGGGCCCATGGGTTGGGCATGTGTGGCTGTTGCGTGTTAATTGGATTGGATGTTTGTTGGTGTGCATTTGTGGGGACATAAAGGTGTTGTGGGGCAGCTACCCTGTTGGAGCCAGTCCTTGGTAATCTCCCGGGGCCACCTGCTCTCAGGCCCATGCCTTGATATCTCTGGCAGCCAACTGCACTCATCCATCCAGTGTCTGTCACTTAAAGCCTGTCTCGTTTCACCAGCCTAGTACCGCCAACATGGTTCAGAAGCAGCTTTGGGCAGGCCATTGCCATAACGCCAAATGCAAGCCATGACAATCTCCAACCCACACCCAGGACAGTGGGACCCTCTTGAGTACACAAAGGCTTACCTTGTTCTCCTCAGGGGCAATGCACTGAACATGAAGGGTCATGGAGCATTTGGCCGGCTCAGGCATCTTCAAGGCTATACAGCTCTCTGGACCTGGCTTCGAACCTGAGGCCACATTGACCCAAGACCTCCTGGGAAATCAGTGCCTGTGAGCCAAGGGAAATCAAGAGCCTGGTTGAACAAAGAACCAAGGCTAAGGGCTGACCCGGCACAAGTTCCTCCTTACCCTAGCTCCATAGCTATCTTTCATTCTCTTATCCACCCCTCAGATGGCTAGCCTTTCTCCTGAGCACAACGGCTCGTAGAACAGCAAGCAAAACTTGGGATGCATTATTGGGTCGGTGAGTGTTTTTGTGTGTGTGCGCACAAGCGCGTATTCATGCGTACTTGTATTTTCGTGTGCCTGTGCCTGGGGGTTGGTGTTTCTTTGTGCAAGTGTTAGACGGTAGTGGTGAAAGGATTAGTTGTATGAGTTTATGCATTGCAGTGTGTCGATGGCAGCCGTTCTCCAGTGTATGCCTTTCAAACGCTCTGTATTCATTCCCTGGACAAGAGAGTGGCAACCGGACAGCGCCAAAGTGGCCAAAGACCATGGTGTCGGCAAGCAGAGCAAGAATGTGCTAACTGGTTGGCTGGCAGCTCTAGACATGAACAGAAGCAAGACCCAGACGAGTCGGCCAAACCTCGGCCTCAAAGGCAAGCCCCACTGGAGAAAGGAACGGTGAGTGCCAGGGCCCACTGCGATGGCTGGCTACCTGTCTAGGGCTGCAGTCCGTGCTGGGGGCACGAATTCATGTGAGGGAAAGGCCTTCCCGGCTCTTACACTAGCTGGCTTGTGCAAAAAGTGCCGGACCCCAGTCACCGATGAGCGGAGATGGGAATGAGTTTTCACTCATTTTGTTCAGTTTTTCCATGGAATGGTTTTTAGGGAATTATCATTGATCTATGCCCAAAGGGTTTTTCCACAGGTGAGAAGAAAACACTCGATTTCACAAGAATTTCCAAGAGTGCTCTTTGGCCACATGCATTTCCCTAGCATTGGGTAGAATGTAGAAAACAAGTCCTATTTGGATACAAGTCCCAGTCCATGTCAACAATATTCTTTCCACAAAAGAAACTTGGCTTACCTTTCAGGGCCACACAGTCACTTGGTAGGTATTGGTGAATAAACAGGGCCTGCACACTGGCCACAAACTCTGATCTTCCATCAAGGCAGGCTCCTCTGTGACATGCTTCCTGTTGGGCTTCCACCAATTTAATCTCTGTAAATTGGTCACAAATCAAATGCCCACTTGAGAGAAGGATGGGAGCAAAGAGTGACAATCACAATCTACTTTATCTGTATGTCTAAAGTGCTTTGATCCTTTCTGTGTTCTCTTCCTCTTATATGTTGCTCTCCCTGATGAGGGGGCCCAGCATGACTCCATTGCACACCTCATGCTTATGATTAGTGTGTGCGTTTGTAGGTGGCAAGCTCTCTAGTCCCAACCAGTACCGACACCTGCTGCAAATCTACGTGGCATACCACCTTCATACCAAGGGGCAGCTATTCACACGATGCCAGCTATCTCCTCCTGTGCTCAGTGACAAGAGAGAAGGGACCTCCTGCAAGCCTCATTTCTCTCTAGACATCCCAGGGTAACTGCACCTTCTTTTTCGCTTCCTCTAAGCAAGGATGATGCACCCTCACCCACCCTCTGCCAACTGAAACCCACCCAATGAGCAACTGAACAGAACTACTTCGAACTATCAAAAATAGATCAACCAGACACTTTGGGATGCCTGTGGCCACACAGGCCCAGAAAAATTACCTTACTTCTGGACCACACTTCCTTGTACAAACTGATCAAACTCAACGTGACCTTTGTACAACTATGCATCTACATGCCTTGTTTGTTGGGCATGCTGATAGGGACCCCCATGCATGCCTGTCTACCAGAAATAAGACAGTTCTAAGGCCCTGAGTCTCCCTGCTTATTTCATAAAGCACGCACACACACACACACACACACACACACACACTCACACACACACACACCACACATATGGTGAATCTCACATGTCTAGACTGCCAAAAGACGATATAAGCTTTCAGCCCAAACAAGAATTTTGCCCAACAGTGCCATGTGTCTGCATCCTTACTAGTCACAGGAGCACCTCCTGATGTCTGGCCATATTCCCAGTAGCCACCTGCCCACTGGGGCTGAGAACAGTTAGGTTCCTTTGTGACATAGCAGTGGAGGGTCACAAAGCATGGGGCTTGTGGTCTAGGCACCACCAACTTGTATAGGAGATCAACCAGTTGGGGGCTTTTATGACAGCATAATCTGGAGAGTAGAGACATGTCCATGACGAAGTTGAGGATGGACCAAGGCACAAAGGTAACTCCACGATCTTATGGGTGGCAATGTGGCTGTTTCATAAAGGTTCTTATTGCGTACCCTCCAAGTGCATCTTTGAATGGGTGCCAAGGCACATTTATCAGCCAAAGGCTGATCTAGAAGCTAGGTGGGCAGAATTAAGTGGGGCTTATCCCTACACTACAATCTCCCCTAAGTAACTAACTGGCCACCAAGGGGAGCCTTCTGCTGATGAAAGTCAAAAGGTAGCCCTGGGAGGAGTCCACAGTCTACTCAGCAACAAGATCCTAGTAGGCCATCCTAAGTGGAGGACTGCCTCTGGCTATTTCCCAATACAAAAGGTAAGAGGTCATTGCAGGTGGGGGTAAGCTCACATCCATGTGTTTCCAGTGTGGAGTCAGGCTGGTTATGACACACCTATCCCATGGGGACCAGCACAGGTAAGGCGCGGGGGAGTGCTGGCCAAGCTACAATCCACAGACACTCTGTGAAGACGGTATTGTCCCACTCACTGTCACCCCTTCCTGTCCTTTTTTTGCCAGTCCTGGGGCTTGAACTCAAAGCCTCGGCACTGTTCTTAAGCTACTTTTGCTCAAGGCTAGCAGTCTACCACTTGAGCCACTGTTCCACTTCTAGTTTATGTGGTACTAAGGGATTGAACCCAGGCTTCATGTATGTGAGGCAAGCACTCTACCACTAAGCCATATTCCCAGCCCCTCCATTACACTTTTGTGCACATCCTAAACAAGGATCATTGCCAAGTTTTTTCTATGTCTTTGTGTCCATGCTACCAGGGGAAATGGGTCCTGTCATACAGTGAGGCTTGTCTCATGTCCACAAGGGCCCTGAATCGAACTTGCTTCTTCCCTTGGATGTATATAAACCTGAAACTCACTATTGGATGCTAACTTCCAGCTTCTCTGCACTAACCTCAAGCAATTCTACCCACTGTCTCTTTTGACCCATCAGGCAGTCTCAACCTGCCATGCGTACCTCATAAAGAAAGGCATGATCTCAAGGTCTTTGTAGCTGACTGGGCATTTCTGTAGAGATGCTTCCTTGAATAGTTCATGAACATAAGTTAGGGAAAGTAAGTCCTGCTTCACTCCTACACTAGCTGTGATATGCAAACATGCTGAACTTCAGTCACCCAGGAGAGTAGGAATTGGGATTTTTCACTCATTTTCTTCAGATTTTCATGATATTTTGGGGACACCAAATCCAAGAACAATTTTTTGGCACAATTGCTCCTGTGAATCCCATCAGACATTTGGATGTCTTAAGACCTTCAAGACAGGCTGTATGAAGAACAATTGTAGGAAGTATTTCTGAGGACAGAGGGAATGCCCAAATTGGTAGACTGAAAGGGCACCCTGGAGAAGAAATGAACCATATCTCTCTTAGGACTCAAAAATCATGACACCACCTACCCCATTGGTGATGAGAATGGTTTCCTCAGTGACATAGCAGCAGAGAGGTCCCCAAACAGCTCATGGGGCTTGCAGACAGGCACCACCACCAACTTGTACAAGAGAGCGCCAAGCTACTTCCTGCATCACTGCCTGTGGGGCTTTTGTGACATCACGCCCTGGGGAGTGGAGACAAACCAATGACAAATTTGAGGATAGAACAAGACACAAAGGTCACTGGCCAAATCCTATGGGTGCTGGTGTGGGCTGTCTCACTTATGCTTCTGCTTTATCTCTGCTCCTTCTGCACACACACCCAACTGAGCAAAGCAAAAGACCTAGCACCTGAATGGATGGGCACTTTGGCAGAGCTGTTAGCCAGAGGCCATATAAGAAGCTGAGTAAGCAGAAGTAAGTGGTGACTCAGCCCTATATTATCTACGGTAGGCAACATGCTGGACCTCAGTCACCGATGAGTGAGAAGGGCATAAATTTTCACTCATTTTGTTCAGCTTTTCCAAGGAATGTTTTTTTGGGGAATCATCATCGATCCAAGCACAACCATATCCATTGGCCAGAAGGAGAGCCTAAAACTCTGCAGCCCGGAGGGGCAGAATAGAGTACTAGCATAACCTGTGGCCACTCATAGGGCTTTCCAACGTGGTAGGAATTAGAAAGACTGGCATCTTA